AAGCTTGATTGGTCATCTTTCTCCATTTTTATCTCTGCAAAGAATGTATATTGGAAGATCCCAAGGTAGTACTACAAAGAGGGAAACAAATCCGTCGACAAAGCGAAAAGTCACAAATTTTCAAAAGTGAAACGACATTGCTTTTGGGACAACCTAATAGATGCATTCTTGTGGTATACATCTGTTAGTCTTTCTCAGCTAATTCAAACTACAAAGTTTTGCCTTCTACAGAAAATGGCCTTAGAAAAATACTGAACTATGGCACAATGCCTAACAACTGTGAAATAAGAATCCGGTTCCAGTTTTCCAAGTTTTTATTATGACTCATGAAACCTAAGTCTGACCAAGCAATAAAAGAGCAACTTGAATTCTCACAGCTGCACAGTACTCAGAAATGGTATAGAATACTCAGAAAAAGAAGGTAACGAGATATCAAGCTACTCAATTATAATTTCTCGTCGACGAGAAAATAAAGAATGGAAAATAAAAGGTGATAATGAAAATAGATATGACAAACCTGTACAACTTTCAAACGATGCTTCAACCGGAGTCTCTCGATTTGCTCGTTGGTGAAAGCATAACCAAAATCGCGATATGAGGCTGTCAAGAGGGCACCCACAGATCTCTGCAAAGATGATTTTGAACTCAGATCAAAACTATTTCTCAGTCACGTTCAGCGTTTACGGTAAAGTAAGTTGATAAACAAACTACCTTTCCGCCATCTTCTGATGCATGCTCATGTATACAATCTGCATAGGATGATAAAGCCATAAGCGTCTCTCCATCATCTTTCGAGTTACAAATCATGGCTTCATTTTCGCGTAGCATTTCCATTGCCACTTGGAACATTAGCTAAATCGTAAAGTGGTTGATTTCATAGAATCTTAAAAATAACAGAAGTTTCTCACCCTTGCTCCTTCGAAGAAAAACAGATCCAGTATCCTTACTGCAGCATCAAACTTTATCGCACTGAGGAAAATTGTCAAGAACCATGACAATGCTACCATATCGCCCAATCCAAGTTCGGAAAGCTTTGCACCAATATTTGGTAGAGAGCGTTCCACAAGCTCAGTAAAGACTCCTAGAAAGAAATGTGGTAGTTTAAATCAGAGATATAAGGCGGTGCAAAAAAATCTCAAAATCAAAAAAGTAAAGAATTGAGGCGTTGTTTACCTAATGTAAGAGACGTAGCACTTTAAAAATCTAAAAATGTTTTCCCACAGTAAAAAACCTTCAAGGCTGAAGCATAAATCGAGATGACGTATTACTTTTCGAACAACTTATAACTGAATTGGCAGTAATTATAGTGACCATAAACAGCCCAACACGAGCAAAGTAAAAAGCACCAAAGTAAAAATTAGAAGGCCAAACATAATTGTCAAATGCATAAAATGTTGTGATTCGATCACGAATGCAGTAAAATTATGAATAACATGAGAGAAAATATAAAAAATCTTTATGTCTGTAAAAATCAGTTTTTGCTTACCTTGATCAACCAACGCTCCAACAACTTTATTATTGTAATAATCTGGCAACAGACGTTCACAGATCGCTACCAAAAGCCAGAACGCTTCCTCTTCCTTCACATACAATAACAATACAGAGCTTACTATGTTCATCGCTTGGCAATATCCTGGAAATAACCGTAGAAGATAGCTCATATTGTGCAAGATTCTTACCTATGTTGGGATTTCGGAAGGAGTACGCAGTCAGAATTCGCCGCAACGCATCGATTCCTTCTCCATCTTGGAAGGCTGGATGTTCAGGTAAGCTTCTATAAAAACGAATAAA